AGTATCTGGTAGAGTACAATAGAAGCATAGTACTAACTGTGGTAGTATCTGGTAGAGCACAATAGAAGCATAGTACTAACTGTGGTAGTATCTAGTAGAGCACAATAGAAGCATAGTACTAACTGTGGTATTATCTGGTATAGCAGGGCCTCAGCCTTGCGTTTTTCTTCATGGTAGGCCTGGGTTCGTTCCTCCACCAGCTCCTCCAGGTTGTTGGCGTACTGCTCCATGCGGGACAGCAGGTTGTCCAAAATGTTGTTCCTGGACTCTCTGGACACCAAACATACCAAGTTAACAGGACTGGGGCCACTTCTAGAGGTTTGCTGCCCCCTGTCTAGAACTGCCCAGGCTTTTGAGGCAGCTGTAATTAAGTTTTACTTTAACAAAAAAACATTTTTAATCTGGTTACAGAGTACCAGCACACTTCGCAACCCCGCTTGGTATAAACTTGATGGAAAATTGATGGATGGTTGCAGCGTTTACACCACAATGACCTTTTTGGAGAGTTTCAATCAGGTTTTAGAGCTCATCATAGCACAAAAAAAGCCCTGCTGAAAGTCACTAATGATATTCTCATGGCCTCAGATAAAGCCGGTATATACTGTACCATTTTTTGGCCTTTTCTCTAAAGAATTTTTCGATCGGACCAACGTTTAGCCTGATCATGTAGTGTACAGCGGGTAACGAGGGGCTATCAGCTTCTCACCATTACCTCCCGATCAGGAATCATAAGGTCGGGAGATAACTAAACACAAATTCAGCCGGCCGTCGTAAGATCGCATCAGAGCGTCGGGTCGCACAGTATGAGAACAAACATCGTGAGCTGTGTGGAAACCCTGCAGTTTCGTCGTACAGTTTGAGCTGTAGCTGCGTGAAATGATTAAAAATATCGCACAGTGTACGCCCGGCTTCACCTGTTCATAATATTCTCCAGCTGTAGGGATTTGACTAACAACACTAACCTGGTTTCAATCTTATTTATCTTGTTTATGTAAAGATAAACTTTTTTACCGGGGTTACTTATGGGGTGCCACAGGGTTCAGTGCTAGGTTCAGTCTGGTTGGTGTGGACTCTAACATAACAGAAAGCTAATTGAAGCAGCTGATTTGAAGCAGTCCAACCAGTAGGCCAACACTGCCCCCTTTCCAACGTTTTCCCTGGAAATACACCCTCTAAATGAGCTAAGAGGTGGATAACAGTAAAGGAGCCGGATAGAGGTGTGTTAAACTACGACGCTACCTTCTGGTCTGGATCCTGGGCTTTTAGTTTGAAGAACTAAGAAATTTGGCCGTAAATCTTAAAAGAAGAGCTGCACTATCCAGAGCGGGATGGATTCCATCTCTCCAAATCAGACCAGGTTTTTCCTAAAATTTTCACTAATTAACAGAGCCCACAGAATTTTCAGGCCTACGGGGCGCCGTTTGTAAAGTTAAATAGTCAAAAATTAGGAGCAAGCCATTTTTTTCAAAATGTCATTCATTTATTTATAAAAAAATCTTACTTTGTTAAATAAATATTTAGTTTTAGTTTTAGTTTACCTCCAAATCAAATATTTATTTAACAACCTACATATTTAGCTAGCTTGGTGCTAGCTAAATATTAAATTCACTTGCCGAAAAGCGGAAGTGAACTACCAAATTAAAAGCCTGGGAATCTCTATACAAGTCCTATGGCTAAAGACGAGAGTCTGATTTCTGTTTAGTCACTTTGTCGTCTAACCTGACTCCGCCAGATGGATTAGCTCCCCATATCCATCTGGAAACCTTCCGTTG